AGATATTTAAAAAAAACAGTTTTGTTGATTAAAAAACACTATATCGGATTCATATCGGTATCGGCAGATATCCAAATTTATGATATCGGTATCGGTATCGGACATAAAAAAGTGGTATCGTGCCATCTCTAGTAGAGACAATACATTCTGGACACAGTTTTGTTTGCCAATTCAAAAACTGTGGGTTTTGTTGCACTGCACAACGGCAAAAGGTGTGGCTGGCGAACTGATGAAACTATAAGTATGCAGTACGAGTATGTGTGTTGTACAACCGTAAAAGTAATGTTGTATATATTGTTTATTAATTTAGACTGTACGTACTGTTGTGCAAAACCAACAGTATGTTGTATCAGCAGGCTTGGTTGTACAACTGTCAGCAACCAGGAAGACCGATATATTGTTTAGCAAATATATTGGGACTGTACATATTACATTGTGTTGTGCATCCATTGCTGTGTACATACTGTCTATACCCAGCCAATTGTTGAAGATATTGGCCAGAATGCCAAAGTTTTACAAATAAAGGAAAAGAACGGAAAATGACATTGAAGTGTATGAAGAGCTGGTTTGATTTGTTATTCTGACTTGTGACAGAAGCGCTCCCAGTAACGTGATGGATGACATTAACCTGCATGCAATCAATCAGCCATTGCCTAATAAGGATTTGGCTTGTAAAAATCTATATTTTCATAACATAAACAAAAGGTCCTGTTCCATTTAATTGCTGTGAAGTCAGTGTAGTTTTATATTTAATAAGAAGGGTCACACCAAAAGAAATTATTTTCCAGTCATTAATAACCATTTCCTAATATCTACAAATACTGAGAAAAATGTTTGACACCAACTTGCCTGTGAGGGGTAGAGGAAATCTCTTATTACCTGCCTTTTTTAGGAGTGAAACCTACTAAACCCAACATTTTAAACCTTCATGGTGCAGCAGCAGCAGCAGCAAGCCAGAGTTAAAGCCACTAGATGGCAACCAATCATAGTCCATCCTTTTGCTCTCTTTCCACTGCTTACTTGAAGTTGTCCCTTTAGAGCCATAATCCCTGAAAAAGAAGAAGGAAAACTCTTTAATTTATATCAACCACCAGGCACACCATAAAAGCTTTTAGCAGGCACTGAGCTGATGTGTCAGGTGGGTGTGGCGGGCTCATCAGCCCTGACATTTAAGTGCAGTAGTGCTCGGAGCAAAAGGGATTGTAGGATATGAGTAGATACAGATGACAAGCCCCCCTGTGAAGATGATTGCAGTGGAGTGACAAGAGGAGACCAAACAACAGACATAGCAAGGAGAAGGTGTCGGGAGGGGAGAGATGAAAGGCAAAAGAAAGAACAAGAGCTTTGAGAAACAATAACTCAACCCGGCAATTACAGCTTTGTCAGATTTTATGTTATCTTTTCATAAGGGGAGAACTTCAAAAATGTACTTAGAATCTTAAGAGCATATCGCCATTTTGAATTTATTGAAATCTTTGTAACTTTACCTTATGACTATGGAAAAATACAAATGATTGGTTTTGGTCTTAGGATTTTATATCATATTATTATTATTATTATTATTATTATTATTATTATTATTATTTTAAATCTGTGGATATTTAAGTAAACCACGATTTGGAAAACTGGTTAGCACCTGATATAGGTTAGCACCCTGCAATATGCAAGTTTTCAAATGCCTATGTAAGCAACTTTCTGATTTAGTACCAACAGTGGTGTTGTTGAAAGGGACATGACATTTTTCTGTAAAGTTAAGACATTAATATTTGCAGTATTTTGGTTGCCTCATCGCTACATTATTTTTTATTTTTTTTAAAAAGCTATTTCATATTGTCATAAAGATGAGGAAGACCAAGATGGATGCAAAGACAAAACAACAACAACAAAAAACCCAACAAAACAAAACAAGAAACACTGTTACTTTATGAAATCCCTGGGAAGTGAAGTGTTCCACTTAGGAAATCACCTGGTACAGTCACCTTAACACCATGTCTTTTAATGACAAACCAGTCAAGCTGCAGTCCTAGATCCACATCCTCATTCTATGTGAGATGTACCCCACAACCAGACTGCATCAGCCCTCCAGAAGCTGAGCTACAGTATGCTAGGCCGAACCTGAGGTTCTGACTTCCAGCGTTGGCTGAGCCAGTGTAGCTTTCATCCTGGATGGAGGGGTTGACAGGCCCAAGCACTCTTTCTCAATGTACATGTACTTTTGTAAGTGTTTAATACATTCAGCGAGAGATAACCCTGCTTTTCGTCAGAGTTTTGTTTGTTTGTTTGTTTGTTAGTTGGGTTTTTTTTTTTAAATGGCAATATTAAATGCCATTTCTGAGCTTCCTCTTTGGGAGACCTCTGCTGATCACCTGCATGCAGAGATGTCTGAAATATAGCCGCTGGCTACTGAAGTAAAACATTTTGGTAGTTTCACAGCAAACTGTAGTCTGTGCTTTTGGGACATGAGAAATGACATATGCTCAAGCCAAGCCAAGAAGTGGGGGCCTTTTCCATTTCCTTGCCCTTAAAAAGAACAGGAGCTCCTCCTGCTGGGGATGAAGGGAAAGAGAGTTTCTTTTGTTATGTTTTTGTTTTTGGTTGGACACCCTACAATTGGCAAACTGCCTGGCTGCAGAATACTTTCATTGTTTTGTTACCCCCTGAGCATGATGATACTGAAGGGGTGCTTGGTGGCACTGTCATTTGTCCTAGCATCTCCTCTCTTTGAACTAGAGGGGATGGAGACTGATGCTGGATTCCATCCACCTAAGTAAGATATTGGAGTTGGGAAGAGTAGTAGTAGCAGTAGTCAGAAGAGAAAGAAAAAAAAAAACATATTTTTTATACTCCCTAGGCAAGTTAGAGCCACTAATACATCACAAAACTTGCAATGTGTGTGCACTCACAGATAGAAGCTGGCTGTGCATGGCTTATGTAATGAGTCACACACAACAGTGTGAGCACAGATTACAGGTTTTACAGTTTTACTGTATATGTTCACTGCTGCCATCTTGGATTGTGAAATCAGGGCTGGAAGCGCTCTCCAGCTTTCTGAGTTGGAAATCTGAGTTGAGGGGGCATTCCAGTTGCAAATTCTAATTTAGAAGTTGAACTTTCTGGCTTCCCAATTCAAATGGAAAGCAGTACGAGAAAGACCTGATAAACTGGGAACTGCAGAAGCACCTGAATCATAAACTATGAGGGCATTAGTTTACCCTTTCCATCCCTTCATGAGGTGATACAGAATACTGATTAAACGTTAGGTCAAACGCTTCTTCTTACCCTCCTTTGGGCATGACAAGTTTCTTGCAGCCACCACTAGAAATAAATGCTTTACCCCAAAGCCTTGTGGTTTCTGCCTGCCTTGGCCTCCTGAGCAGATTGGGACGCACTCTCCTTCTCTCTGCATTTTAACTCCACTTTGCCTATCCCTCACTGCCACTGCTGGAGCTGCAATGCTAGCTCTATGCACCTGGTGGGGTTGTGAATTTGATTTTTGTGGTAGGCAGAGGACGAAAGCTTCTCCGTCTTTCTGTCTTTCATTTTCTCCAAGACTGGGCCACAAAAGACCATTGGCGGGACACAGGGTACGTCCATGACTCCAGCCTTCCATGATTGACAGGTTTAACCTGTCTCTGGTGGGACAGTCTTGGACTGTCCCACCAGAGACTGCAAGGCTCACCCACAGCCTTGGACTCCTCCACAGGAAGAGCATGGAATAAGTGTATAAACTACATACATTTTATACCAGAGTACAAGGCTTGGATTCATATCTTCCAAGTCTTTTCTTGATAAACAGTGTGACAATGTTAAGGGAACATGCTGACTTTGCTGTATAGTGAGATCAATCTGCAGTAACACATAAATTATAGTTCTGCGTCAGATGTACATCGTAACTTACGACATAACCGGAACCCTTTCTTCTGATGTGCACCTCCTGAGAAATGTAAATACACGCCAGGTCAACTGCTGGAAGGTGGTGTCATCCTTGTCCTCCTTAATTTTGTCTAAATTGAGGTCTGTGTTGACGTCGCCATCCAGGTTACCCTCATTTCAGTTGAGGAGTCATTCAAATGGCCGGGACACAACCAGTTCTTGCCCTCTATCATGTTTACCCATCTTGTGGTGGCTCATAGTTGATGGATGTCAGTCACAGCATTAGTGGCTGACAAGAAGGGATCCTGCTGGGGTAGCAGCTATAACCATAGCCTGTTGGAAAAGGATGACATGTTATGCCATCTGTAGGTAGCGCTAACATCTGGGTTAAATCCAAATTGACTGTGTTAGCACGAGGGTTAGAGGCCATAACATGGCTAAACGAGTACGTCACCAAATTGCAGCTTCACATGGCTCACTTTTTCACTGTAGGAATCACTTCAAAGTTAGAACAGCTAATAATTCACATTATAACAGTCTCCTCTTTAGTTACATCTTTGCCTTTATATTCCAACATTCCTCTTCTGTCACAAAACAGAGGTCCAAAGAAAAGGGATATACACACTGACAGGGACAGATATCCCACCACCTATGGCACTGGATGTGCGTACATGCATATAAACACACACACACAGAGACACAGACCCTTGGACACCCTGTGGCATTACAGCTCGACCTGCCACTCGGACATTCACCGAATCAGACGGACAAATCTCTAACAGACGGCTCCTGACAAAGAGATTATCACCGTGACAGGAGAAGTGTGTGCAGCTGTGGGTGGTAGAGTTTATAGCAGGAAGATGGGGGTAGGGAGCGAACTCAGTACTTTCACACATTTGGCTTCTCTGCTCTCTCTCCCTCGCACTCTCATCACATCGGCATACATAGTCAGACTTCTCTCTATATGAGTAGCAGATGCATTACCTTTCATTACATGTGTGTGTGTGTCCATGAACATGTGTCAGGCCGGAAGAGAGGGACTCTAAAATCAGTTAACTGTACATTAGAGGTTCTGCATAAGAATGAGTCCAGGTGTAAGATTTGTTGTCATTTTAAACTGTGTGAGAACTTTCCTTGTATTGGTGTTATGCTATAATTCACCCTTTGTATCTTACAATTAATACAATACGAATTACATCTCCCAGCTATATGCCAGAGCTCTGTGACAAACAGGTGCGATACGTGGCACACTGTAGTCTATGCAGTAGACTCCACCCAGCCTTTTTCTGTTGCACTGCTCATCAAAGCAATTTCAAGCCAACTTAGCTTCTGAAGGAAGGATATGTTACAGTGTTGAATAAAACAACAATGTCTGCTGTAGCAATGGTGTCTGGTGCACAGCAGCTAAATCAAAAGGAGGGAAAAATATTTACCCCTTTATACTCATTAAATTTGTAAGAAATCCTGTGCAGATTTTAAGAAATAAAATAAGTACAGCAATATGAAGGCAACACAACAAAAGATTTCGGTGCAACAGGGTTAAGTATAAACTCTTCAGTTATATTAGTGTCTTACTACAGAAGTTTTAAAATTAAAATGTACATTGTTCATTCATTTTTTCCACCATCAGTCCCAAGTGCTCAACTTCAGCAGTATATTTCTGTACATACTTTATGTGATGTCAAACTTTATGGACTGCTGCAGGGTTGTTATCTGGCTCTTTAATTCAATTCTATATTAAAGTGGCATTAAAGTTTTTTAATAGTGTTGAGGATACTCAGGCTAAATCAAGGCATCAAACCTGCACTTATCCATTCGTGTAGCTAGTTTTGTGCCAGAATTATGGTCCTAAAAGGGAACAGAAACAATAAGAAATACCAGACTGATGTTACTCTGCGTATTGCTTCACTCACATATAAATTTAACTGGAAAAAAGTTCATTTCATTTATAATCACAAACAATTTAACCACGAATGCCACCAATCTTTGCTCTAATTGTACAGAGAGTTATCAAGTAGCCACTGTGGATGAAATGGCTGATGGGACACAGTTTGATATTTTCAAACAGTTTTTGAACAAACCACAAATTGCTGCAATGACGGTGATATAATCATGTAATCCAAACACAAATACACTCACAAGTCAAAGGTGCCAGAGGAGGATAAGTGAAGCTCTGTAGAAAGTCAATTAATCTTTTCAGCGGTCCCCCTTCCCTCCGCCCTGCTTAAAAGCTTCATTTACCTCCTATGGAGAAGAGATAGAAACACCATTAGTGAGATGATGGCAGGACTGGAAAGGGGAAAGGAGAATCTCACAGTTGGATGAGCTGAAACAGTATAGGCCCCCATCTCCTCAAAAAGTGTGTGCGCGCGAAAAAGGCGAGAGCATCTTCTGCATGGGTGAGCTCAATTAGGTTCCATCTTGATTATCAAAGGTAGTGGTGTACAACTTTTAAGGCGGAAGTGTGCCTCAAATCCTGGTAATGGCAAAGGGTGGGACGACCTGCAGAGTGAAGCAAGAGTTGGACTGATTGGAGTGGAGATGTGACTGAGGTTGGGTTTTTTTTGTTGGACAGAGGTGCTATACAAGGTGTACATTAGGGAATAACACCCTAACCACTATTTCCATATCTAAAGTAATGTGCGTGTGTGTGTGTATGACAGTGAGAGAGTGTGCGGCATTCGAGCCCAGCTGGATAAGTGATATTCATGTGTGTTTGCATGCACGCGTTTGGGTGTGTGAAATGCCAGTGAGCATATAGGCTTCGCTTGACTGAGCTCGGCTGGCTGCTGGGGCACAATTGGGGGGCTCTCTGTGTAAAGAGGTCAAAATACACACACATACAAACAACAGTGAGGAAGTTTGGCTGAATACGCAAGGCTCTGATAATCAAACAGTATGCAAATCAGCCAAATCCTATGCAGAAACAAACAATATGCCATATGAATCTAAGATTACAAATACACTACACTATGAACGATTCCAAACCTCACATTACTTATATATGTCACAGTGTTGCCACATTAGTCTGTATACATCTTGACATTTAAATTCAAGCCACCTGAGCTCGCAAGTTTCAAAATGATGTACGTCGAGGTGCAATATGTTTTCCTCCTCTCCCTGCTGATCGTAATTACTGCAGATCTGATCTCAGGGCTGTAAGGTTTTACTTGGGTTAATACACTTGCTGGCAGAAGAAGGTCAAGTTAAATCAATAGTAAGAGCATAGGCAAACCCTGGGCTGAAGTCTTGCAGGGGTAACTACAGGCAGGAGGCCAAGTCCCCATCTTCTTAATTACAACCAGCTTCCAGTGCTGACCCTGAAGACTTCTACAAGTCAATAACATGCACACAGTTCAATATGTGTTCTATTACTTGCACCGTATAACTCACACTCCTTCAGGGACAACGGACCACAGGCTGACTTGAAGATCTGTCAAACTAATCATTAAGGAGTTTGGAAAAGACAGTGCTGGTTTTCCTTTATGCAGCATTGTCGCTGCATGCCCTCCCATGTGAATGTGTGCGTGGTTCAATGTGTCTCTGTGCCTGTTTTCACTAGTCTAGTGTGTAAACAAATGTTTTGTCCCAGTTAACTAGGTCCCAGTCAGACCAAACCCATTTGGCATTGGTCCACTGATGCTGGTGTGTGCATGCATTCAGGCTACGGCAATATATAGATATATGTGGGCATATGTGTGTGTTGTGAACATGGCAGCCAGGGGGATAGCATGCTGCTGCTGACACTGGGCCTGTCTGCCTGGTGTGCCCCTTTCTGCACCAGTAGAGCTGGCACTACCTCCTGCCTCTGCCCAGCGCGCCAGCTGGGCGCTACCAGGAGAGGCCCTGCAGAGAGAGGACACAGGTCAGCTGTGACAGAGGGATGCAGAGAGAGAGAGGTGTGGAGTAAAGGGGAAAGGTTTAGATACAGAGCGGGGATAGAGGGATACAGCATAGTCATAGAAAGTTAAAAGAAGACTGAATACAAAGCAAGTAAATATTTCACTATTAAACAATGACATTATGATGAAAATGGGTTGTCATTATAAGCATAAGATGACCTTTTGTGTTTGTCTTGTGACATGTGTGTGAGGTGGGATTCACTTCAAAAGTCTGATAGTTTAATGTAAACCACTTATACACATTCTGAACATCAATTTGAATTTTATGCCTGAAAAGTAGCATTTACTTCCACTTTTTCTTGCCCAATGTCAAAAGGTGGATTCTGAGAAAATCAGATGTGTCAGCATTAACCATCTAACAGTTTGTAACCTTTCTGGTTCTTTTAATGACATATCATTTAGATGCATTTGATATTTGCGTACGGGACTTGGACGCTGTATTACAGTCTGTGGTTCTGCAGTCATTTTGTTGGGGTGTCCAGGTTATTATGTCAGAACGGTCAAATGAATTTACAATATAATTTGTTCCTTGATTACGTGATTTTTAAATGCTTTATTTTATCAAATTATACCACACTTAATTACCATTTCGAGACATCTATAAATATTAGTGTCAACTTTTCAAACAGACATTTTCTACAAATCAATAAATGTTAACTACTATTTCATTGTTTGGTAATAGTACATAACTAAAATAAAATTAACTATGAATTAACAAGGTTTTTCCTCAACACAATAGTGCATACATTCACTTTGGACCAGCTGCCCGAGAGATGTATAGTATTTGCTTGAATTTACTAAGGTTACAATTTATTCTACAAGGTGAAGAAAAAAATTATATAAAACTTGCCAAGATATTTCACAATCATATCTCATGGCTGTATTGCCTTGTATGGCTTTCTTTATAGGCTCTTTGTTCTTTAGAAAAAACAAAAACGATAAACTTTATTTTTTTTACCAAAATCGTTATTCTTTTTATTTTTTTTAACTTTAGCCACTGTAGTTAACTAAGCTGACTGGTTAAGTGAGCTTCACTTGGGATATTTTAATCTAGACGCTGTGTTTCTGTGAGATAATGACTCTTTCCCAGCACTATTACTCAATTAGAACAATTTCATATCATCTTTTTTGTTTGCAGCCTGCAGCGAGGTGCGACAAATGAGTCTTCTCGGTAACAGATGACATAAACTAAGGTTGGCAAAGATATCCAAATTGTAGCTATAAACAAAAAGTATGTGTCTATTCTATGCTGGCACATTCAAGATATACACATGAAAATAAAATAAGACATACGAGTTCATTTGGTTCCTGTGAACACCTTAAGATCAATGAGGCTCTGTGTTTCTTGGTTTGCTCATCCATGTGTAAATGAGACTATTTGCATTGTACAGTGATTAGGGAAATTAGAGACCTGCTGAGGGAAATCACATTGCGTGCTCAGCCACAAGGAAGTGGGGTTATTGCTGTCTACAACTGTCAGACACTGACACTAGGCTTTGGGACTTTTCCATATGGCATGAGATAATATTCCTGGGAGGCAGAAGGTGAAACCCCTTTTAACAGTTGATTCCCCTAAAATTTTATCTTCCTGCTGATAATCTACTGCACTCTGGTCAAAGAACCAAAGTCATGTTTTAAAACTGCATAGGTCTGAAATGAAGAGGAGTACATTTTCCAATTTTTTCTTTCAATCAGTCAGGAATCAGTCAGTGCAAGACATCTTTTAAAGTCACTGTCATCTGCTTGACTCTGACCACCTACATTTATTCACAATGTTTACCTAGAGGCCCGCACAGTTTATCTTGTACAGCCTCACAAGATTTTGTGAAGTCAGCCATATAAACAATGTAAGCTATCACAAGGAAATACATAAATTACATCAGTTTTTTTAAAGATAATTTTGATTAGGGCTGTGATATCATGGGTGTTAAAAGGTGATGAATGGCAAAGCTGGGCGATTATTAGAACATCCATCCTTTGCAGAACACTTTCAAAGCTGCACATACATATTATCTGCATTTTATAGTGTGAAATACTCGTTGGTTATTTGTGAACTGTACTCACCTGTGATGTATTGCAAAAAATAAAAAATAAAAAAAAATAAATGTGCTGAGAATATATTAAGCATTACCTTAGAAATCAAACTTATGTATAGTTCCATTGCTTTATCTTTCAACGTGCCCAATTACTCCATCAAAAGAAGTAAAGCTTAATGATCCTGACTGGGACTTGGGTGGCAACACCTTTGTTCCCCCGAGTCAAGTCACAAACTAATGAGTTTATCTGGATGGTAAATAACAGCACAGGCATGTCAAAGGTCTCTGACCTTTCTACTCGAGATTTGCAGTGGACTACACTGAACAAACCCTTTCAAGGTCCTGCAACCTATCATTAAGAAGAGCAGCTTAGACGAAAGCGCCAGAACAACAACAACAACAATAAAAAAACAAACATTTTCTCTTGTTGTTTGCTTTCTGTGCTTCTGTGCCATCCTGAGGGAAGTTGATGGGGCAAAACATTTGCTGAGTAAATCATTCACTGAAAATGACAATAGAGACAATAAAATGTAAGCTCTTTGTGTAAACTGCGAAAATAATAGGAACGCTAATAAAGAACGCCTTGTTTTTGAGAGTTAGGCTTAGAACAAATGTAACCCTGGTCGCTTAAAGGACAACATCTGGTCTTATGACTTTCGTCACTATGCTATAATGTAGTGTAGCTCAAAGCCCAAATCTACTGGCTTTGACATGAAAGAGCTGCGGGGCTATCCGTTAAGTAGCGGAATCAGTGGGATGAAGTCATTACACCAGTATGAGAGACGGAGCCTTGATACCCTCACCTTCTTTCTCCTTCTACTCCCAACCTCCTGCCCCACCACAGACACCCTCTGAACACCCCGCCCCAAGTCCGCACCTTTTCCAAAGCGTCCTCTCTCCCGCCCCCTTTCTCCATGGGCCCTGGGTCTCTGGCTGGCACAGCTGTGCCGGGAGCCGTGCTGTCACAAGCGGTTAGGGTGACAGCCACTCACACTTCATAATGTCCCTCTCACAGGTCACCGAGCGACAAGCTGGGTCACCTCGCTCCAGCAGGCAGCCCCAGGGGAAGCAGAGTGCCCCCGCCACCTCCACTACCTCCCCAATCCCTCCCTCACCCACCATCTCTCCATCAAATCCCCAAACCTTCCACCCTCCTATTGCCCAGAAAAATAGAGAGACGGGGGGTTTGGGGGGGGGGGGGGTCCAGGTGGAAGGACCTATTCTGAAGGGATGGTCCACGAGAAACTCTCCATGCTGGAGACTATGCCAGGCCCGTGATTACAGTGGGCACTGTTAGTTCCTCTGA